TTCTCCTGTGCTACTTTAACTCAGTCCTTTACTGTTCAGAGTACAAATGGCAAACGTCTTATTTGATTTGTTGCAGCATACAACTAAACCAGTGCCAATGATGTACCTGAGCGATAAATTCAACTGGACCTACATAGAATCAGTCCAGACTGACGTTCTTGAGCTTCCATATGTCAGTAATGACCTCAGCATGTTTATCCTGCTACCAAGTGACATCGCTGGCCTACAAAAGGTAAAGCAACTAAGAATATAAATCATGAAAAAAACCCAAGAGTGTCATTATTTACTTATTTTATGCATTTACGAGGTAAAAGACCAGGTTGCAGTCATGTTTCTAGGAAGGAGGGTACTGATCAGGCTCAAGGAAAAGCACACCGCACTGTGAACTTGAACCTCTTGGACCTCAGACCAGATTTCTTACTCTTGGCAGCTGGCGCATCTGTCGTTCCTAATGTTGATCAGTCCTGGAAATAGGTAACCCAAACCATACAAGACTGGCTCTTCTTCCAGCTGAACAAAATGAGGACAGAAAGCCAGCCCTGCTGAGATTCACTGTCTGTATCAAATCAGACAGATATGATTTTGTTCAAAAAAAACCCCACAAATTGGACAGCCTCCATTACTTTCCGGGAAGTCCAGAGCTAATACATATGGACACTGCCACCTTCTGTAAAGAGACAGATCCTGCCTTTGGATAATAATCTCTTATTAAATTCTCATTGACATTAATGGGTGTTCTGTAAGAAGAAAAAAAAAGCTCTTTTCAGTAAATTCGAAAATGTAGGGAAGGCAGAAATGTGAACAGGACATCACACGGCTGTAACTTGACACTGATGTTTTTGTTCCACAACTATTTAACTATTACTGAGAATACTTTAAATATTGTACTGACCTACTGTAGAGCAACATGCTCCTTCAGTTGAAAAGATCTCCAAATTGGTCTTTCACTAACTTTGTTTGTTTGTTTATTTTTGTACTTTACAACAGTTTGAAAAGTTCCCCATTTAAGAAAAGAGAAGATATGGCCCTTAGGGCACAGGGTTTTGAACACTCTGTAATTTTCTGATTCTCTTTTTACTAACTGCAGCTAGAAAGAGAATTGACTTTTGAAAACCTGTCTGCATGGACCAGCCCAGAATTAATGGAGAAAATGAAAATAGAAGTTTATCTACCCAAGTTCACATTAGAAGGGAAAAACGACCTCAAATCTACGTTGAGCAGGATGGGGATACAAGATGCCTTCACGGAAGGTCAAGCTGATTTCACAGGAATGTCAGAGAATGGCGAGCTGTTTTTGTCACAAGGTTTTCACAACTGTTATCTGGAAGTCAATGAAGAAGGCACAGAGGCAGCAGCTGCCAGTTCAGCAGCACTGGCATCACGAAGTCTTGGCGCTACTGTTATTTTTGTAGCAGATCACCCTTTCCTCTTCTTTATCAGGCACAACAAGACCAAGAGTATCCTCTTCTTGGGAAGGTTCTCTTCGCCCTAGAAACTCGATTATCAGTAGATGGGCCCTGGCAACAACAGTGATGAACAAAATACACCCCATGAAGAGCATCTCAATAGTCTGTGCACTACTTCATTTTCCCGCACTGTCGACAAATCCCTCAATGTTAGAAGACATCACACATTAAAAATAACATGGAATTCAAGCCTCTGGCTCATTTTCCAAGCCAAAGAACCGAAAATGGTTAGCACTACATTGTAAGTCCCAAACTGTGCACAGAACAACATTGATAACATCTTTGCAGCGCTTTCTGAACCAGAACTGTCACAGTGCAGAACAGACTAAGTTGTTCTAAAACAGTAATTCCCAACACACTTGCTTTGGTACCTAAGCAGAAATAGGATAAACTCCGTCCTGCAGAATGCTGCTGCATCTCTATTGGTTTCAGCTCGCTAAGCTGGTCATCCCAGGAGGGCTACCTCACCCACATTCTTCTCAGTTTTATACCTGCTTTGCAGCCTGGCACAGCTGGTAGCAAAATAAACCTGCAAACCCCTTTGTGTTCTTGATGCTGCTGGTTCTTTCGTGCACGTAAAGGGGCCAACACATGTACTTTATAATTTCTACCCCACACCAATGGGAAAATATTGAACAATTGGAGGAAAATAAAATGTATGTGCCCTGAAAACTTCTCTTTTGTAACCTCTCATGCATTCAACACTATTGCCAGCCCAGCACTGCACTGCTTTGTTCTCATTTTGCTTTGTCATTGATTTCACTGGTTTGAGGCAAGTTTGAACTGGAGAATCAAGCCTGTAACACTAACTCCCTTCTGGCACTTCTACAAATCCCCCAGTACACATCTACTCCTGTCACAGCTCCTTCTCCTAAGGAGGAGTGTCCTAGTCACCACATTTGCAGGGGATGCTCCTAACTGTCTGAATGCAGAACAGAGAGCGAAGGAACGGGTCTTTTATGGGACTTGCACACACCACCAGCATCTTACTAGAAATACCTCTTCTTGGGATGGCAGGACTCCTTTTTCCTCACAGAGAGGACACTGCTGACTATCACTGAGTCCTTTTTGTTTTCTTTCATGTGTCTCGCTGCTTCCTGGCCCTGCTTCCCAAGTGGGAAGAAGCATAGGAAAAGTGTTGTGAAGGAAGAGCTTTATCATAGCCCCGTACGACAACCTCAATGGCACTGCCTTCTGTCTGACTCAGCTGTGAAACATGACACAGGATCCCTGTGCATTCAGGTGCAGAGAAGACAGGGAAGCCATGCCTGGGAGGCCAAGGAGGAACAATAACATGACAACCCACACCCAAACTCACTCACAGGCCTTTAAAGTCAGTGGAAATGTGAGTCACCTTTTCTCTCTCCTTCAACTGTTTTAAGCATGATTGCAAAGATGACAGAGTAATGGCCTCTTGGCAGTGCCAGATCATTACCAAGTGGCAATGGCCACAGCACTTGAAAGGGTGAGCTGCACATTAGGGAACAATCTTTTCCCAGGGTGAGCAGCACAGCAGTGGAGAAGGTTGCCCAGAAAGGTTGGAGAATCTCCATCCTTGGAAGGGCTGTGGCTGACCTTATTTACCGATGGTCCTGCCCCAAGCAGGAGGTTAACTTCTGGGTGTCCCTTTCAATGACAATGTGTGATTTTCTCTCTCTTGTCAACAGCCATTCTGCCTTGCCACTTCTCTTTCTCATCCTGCCCTGCATCTTTGCATCTTGACTAGCAAAGGGAGCTAGCTTGGTCACCCTCAGCATATTTCTTTGGGACTTGGAGTCTCCTGGCTTGGGCTTTCCGACCACCTAACCATTCAGCTAAACTTTCTCCTATCATGATTTCTTGAGGACTTACTCATCATACTGAAAACAACACTTGTTTAATTTCTGCCATTTCTTCATTGCCTTGCACAACATTGATTTCTGCCACTTTTTAGAAGACTTTGTCCACTCCGTTCCTGTAATCAGGCTTGCAGCAAAATGCTTAGCACACAGGACAATTTCCTTCCCTTCCTCCATTCCCCTGCCCCTGCCCCCCAGGGCCTTACGGTTGTTGCCACCACTTTCTCCTTCTTCTACCACCCAGCCAGCAGCCTGGCTCTCTTCTAGGACAGCAGAGTGCCAACTACTGTGCCATGTTTGCCCCTGTTGTATTTTTTTCACTCCATCTTTGCTCGAGCCCTCCCACTGGGGTTGTTCAGTCCTTGCCCTCCTTCACTACGTGCAAGCACTGTGCCCTAACTCAGTGTTTCTCTCAAATGATTCCCAGCCATGTCTGCAATGAGATTTCATAGAATGGTTTGTGTTGGAAGGGACCTTAAAGACCATCTAGTTCCAACCCCCCCGCC